CATTCTGCTAACCTTCAAATTCAGACTTGTCAGTAATTACTGGCTTGCGTTAAAAGATGGAAATTAGAGCTTGAGGTCCAGGAAGGATACACGGTTTGCTCGGAGGCATAGAGTCAGCAGGGCTCTGGTCTTCCTCTCCCTTCGTTTTCCGCTCCTGTTTGCCCCTTGACAGAGGGCAGCTGGGGTGGGGAAGGGCACAGGGCTGGTGAGAAAGGGCCAGGGTGGGCTTTTTGTTTTGGGCGCCCTGACCAAGAATTGAACCGGCCACCTTTCTGTGAACCACAGTGCCCAACCAAATGAGCCACACCGGCCAGGGTGAAGGTGGGGACTTTTAAACAAATCAAGGGGGGTAGGAGTGGCATCCGTGCCTATTTTAGCAGGGCTACCATTTTGGTAAAAAATAAAAAAATAGCTGAAACCGGTTTGGCTCAGTGGAGAGAGCATCGGTCTGCGGACTGAAAGGTCTCAGGTTTGATTCCGGTCAAGGGCATGTACCTTGGTTGCGGGCACATCCCCGGTAGGGGGGTCTGCAAGAGGCAGCTGATTGATGATTGTTTCTCATTGATGTTTCTTTTAAATATGTTTTTATTGATTTTTTACAGAGAGGAAGAGAGAGGGATAGAGAGTTAGAAACATCAATGAGAGAATCACCGATCAGCTGCCTCTTGCACACCCCTTTTGGGGATGTGCCACAACCAAGGTACATGCGCTTGACCGGAATCGAACCTGGGACCTTCCAGTCCGCAGGCCGACACTCTATCCACTGAGCCAAACCGGTTTCGGCTCTCATTGATATCCCTCTCTCTTCCTCTCTGTAAACAATCAATAAAGACTATTTAAAAAAAATAAATTAAAAGGTAAGGCAGGCAATTCTGAGTGCCTTTTCTGGGCAGTTGCTGAGAGCTGAAGAAGGCTCTGAATGACAAGCATCTCTCCTTTGCCGATGAACAGACACCATCGTGGGCCCTGGCCAGTAGCTCAGCCGGTTAGAGCGTCGCCCCAATACACCATCGTTCCAGGGTTCGATCCCTGGTCAGGGCACTGACAAGAAGCAACCAATGCATGTGTGAACAAGTGGAACAACACGAAGCTCCTTTCTCTCCACCTTCTCTCTATTACCCATCCACCAACCAATACACAAACCGCCTTGGAAGAGCTGGCTGCCCTGGAAGGGACTGCTTCAGGGACCTCTGCCTTGAACAACAGGGTTGAGTCCTTGTCTGTACAGGTTGCTTCTCCGACACCTCCAGCCCCAAGCAGGCCCTCCACCGAGCGGCTCACCAGTCAGCCCAGCGAGGGAGGCAGCCCGTTTCCCCGGGGACGGGGTGGGAAGGGGCATGAAACAAACACTCCCAGGAACATATCGTTACCGATGGGGCCAAGGATGTTTGGAGAGAATACAGCAGGAAGGCTCGGTTTAGATGAGGAGGTTTGGGGGGTGGGGGGTGGGGAAGCCTACGTGGGGTGTGAAGGGCTTTGGCCAAAGCGAAGCGCTTTGCATATGTGAGGGAAGTCATAACAATAAGAAAGGTGCGCGGAAGGGCAGCGCACCCTCATTCATGGGCCACTTCCTAGCGCTGGGCCAGCTCCCTCCGCCCGGAGCCAGGGAGGCCCGCAGGGCGGCCCTCACATGCTAATGCCGGAGCTGCTCCACGGGCCTGGCCTCCGCACCCTCCTCTGCGTCTGGTCCCCAATCCTGAGCGGAAGGCCGGGGTGCGAGAGTTTCCAGGTGGGAAAAGGAGCTATAAACCATAAAGGAACTTTCCCAGCCCGACCCAGGGGCCAGGCTCCCCCACCCCAAACTGTCGGAGGATTGTTTTTCAAAGCAAGACCCCCGCCTCCCTGTGTGTGTGGCTGCGAGGGGGGCTGTGCGGGAGACCTGAGCTGCTCCTGGGGAGTTGGGGGGCAGAGGCGACCATGTTTGAGCCCTCCTTCCTCCCCACCCCCCAACTGGTAAGGGGTGAGGCGATTGCTGCCGGATGGCGGTGCTAATGTCCCCGGAAGATCTTGGCTGATCCGATCACAACAAGAATGGCGGGCGTTCGCCAAAACCCAGTTTGGCCCAGTGGATAGAGCTTCGGCCTGCGGACTTAAGGGTCCCAGGTTCGATTCCGGTCAAGGGCATGCACCTTGGTTGCGGGCACATCCCCAGTAGGGAGTATGCAAGAGGCAGCTGATCGATGATTCTCTCTCATCGATGTTTCTGGCTCTCTATCCCTCTCTGTAAAAAAAAAAAAAAAAAGTAAATAAATAAATAAAAAAAATCAATAAAGTATATTTAAAAAAAGTAATAGCGGACACTCACACTTGTGCGCTGGGCACTGTCCTAAGCCCTTTCCTGACTCTTACGTCTCAAAGCAGCCCCATGGGTGAGCACACGCTACCAAGACCATCTCGCAGCGGAGGAAACCGAGGCCCGGGGGCGGGGCTGAGCAGGGACAGCAGCTTTTTTCTTTCTTTTCGCCGCGGACAATTTGGAGACGAGAGTTTCGATCCGACCCTGATGCGTGGGGCCCCTGATTCCCTGCGCGGCGGGCGGCGCCCCCGCAGCCCCCGGGCCCGGCCGGGCAGCCCCGCTCTTCCGCGCGGCCTCCGCGAGGTGTCGCCTTCGGCCGGGGAACCCGCCGCGGCGCCACCCTCCACGCCCGCGGCTATTTATTTATCTCCGAACCAGGGGGGCGCCCCACGCCTGCCCATGCACAACTTGGACCCTCCAGCGGCCCCGTCTCCCCCCCCCCCGCCTTACACCCCGATGCAGCGCCCCCCCCCCGGAGATCCCCGAGGGGCACCGCTCCGCGGGGCCGGGGGACCGCACAGCGGCGCGGGCAGGGGGCGGGGCGGCTCCCCGGAGCCGTCTGGGCATTTATTTCCTCTCTCTTCTCAATGCCAGGCGATCGCGGGCAGAGCGGGCGCTGCAGGGCACGGCCGGGCGCGCAGCTGGCGGGCAGCGGGCCGCGGGTGCAGGCGCGGCGGCCTGGGAGGGCGGCGGGGTGGGTTTGGGGGGGCCTCACCCCGGCTTCCCCGGCGCTGCAGCCCCCCTCCCCTCCGCGCAGAAGAAAAGCAAGTGGCTTTTGGCGCGAAAGGCTTGGCGCCTCCCCTGATTTTTATGGAAATCAGGGGGGCGGGGTGCAGCCCCTCTCCGGGCCCGGCCCCCGCCCTCCCCCCGCCCGCGCCGCCGCCCCCCGCTCTCCCCGCCCCCCGGGTGTGTCAGGTTTTCGGTTAATAATATCCCCCGAGCTTCAAAGCCCAGCCAGTGACAGTCATCTGTCTGGCCCGCCGGTGCCTGCGTGCGGGGGGCTCCGGGCGCCGCGCTCCGCCGAGCCCCGCGCTGAGCCAGCCGGCCGAGCGCGCACCGACTGCGGCCACCGAGGACCCCCCTCCAGCCCCCCGGCCCCGGCGCCCGGGGACCCGCGCACAGCCGCCTCCTCCGGATCCCCGCGCCCGCGGAGGTAAGGAGCGGAGCGGGGGTGCCCGGCGCCCCGGGCGCGGCGGGGAGGGAGGGAGCCGCGGACCCACCGCCTCGCGCTCGGGGCGCCCCGCGATCCCCGGGGGACCCGGAGCTGCTGCTTCCGAGACAAAACCTCCTCGGGCTTTTTTTTTTTTTTCCTCCGGAAGATGCAGTCCTGCCCCCCCAAAGGCACCCCAAGCTCGGAGAGACCCGCCCTAATCCCTGTGGCTCTCTCGCCGGCACGGCTCCACCGCCGACAGGCACCCTCCGGGGGAGCGTTTGTCTGCGTCCGCGCTGCCTGTGGGAGCCGCGGCGCCCAGCCCGGAGCTGGGGCTCGTCCCCCCAAAGGTGCCCCCGGAGGAAGGAAGGCGAGGAGGGGGGTGAGGCGATGGGCGAGGCCGCCGCGGCTCGTCCTCGGGCTCCGCGGAGACGCTGCTCCCCGGCGGCGACCCTCCTCCCTCCCCGCTGCTCCGGCCCCTCCGCCCGCCCCGGGAACTGGGGTTCGGACTGCTCCTCGCCCTCGTTGGGATCAGGAGGCCGGGGGTGGGGCTCTCCCTCCCGCGGGTGGATGTTGTGGGGCCTCTGCTCGGGCCGGCGAGGGGGTGGGTGCGTCCTGCTGCTGTCTGCAGAGAAAAAGGATTTTTTTTTTTTCCCATTTGCAAAGTTTCGCAAACCCCCCTTCTCTCGCTCACACGCCCCAAGGCTGCCGTTTCCCAGGGAAGGGGGAAGAGAGGCGGATTGGGAGACTCCAGACCCCGTGCCTGGCTGGGGCGCAGCGCGGGCTGCCTGGGAGCAGCTGGCCCCGCACGGTGCCACCGGGCCTGCGGGCGGGCGGAGCCGGGGAGCTGGGACCCTGCAGCCGGAGCAGCGCCCCCCGAAACCCCCGCAGAGCCTGGTGTGAACGGAATGGCAGTTTGCAAAGTTGCAGAGCCATTGCACCCCACCCCCCGACCCCGACCCCCCGCATCTGCACGCCCCCGCCCACCCCGCGCGGACGGCGAGCGCACAAAAGGAGGGAGGGAGGGAGGGAGCGAGCCAACCGGGGCAGGGCTTCCTCCACCTTCGGGGGCGCGGGGCGCAGTGGGGGGCTTGCAGGGGAGACGGAGGGACCCCCTCCCTCCCTCCCTCCCTCCGGCTCCGCTCGCCAACCTCCCGTGGTTGTGTGTCTGTCGGTTGCAGCGTCGGAGGCTGGTGCGGCCCCCCGCGCGCCCCCCGGGAAGGAAGGAGGAAGCGCCCCCCGAACGGAGCAGCGAGGAGGAGAGGCGAGAAGCAGCGCCCCTGCGGCGGCCGGGAGCGAGGCGAGCCGCTGCCCAGCGGCAGCGCCGCGTCCACCATGCCGGGCATGCTCTGCAAGAACCCGGACCTCGAGTTCGACTCGCTGCAGCCCTGCTTCTACCCGGACGAGGATGACTTCTACTCCGGCGGCCCGGACTGCAGCCCGCCGGGCGAGGACATCTGGAAGAAGTTCGAGCTGCTGCCCACGCCCCCGCTGTCGCCCAGCCGCGCCTTCCCGGGGGAGCCCAGCCCCGAGCCCCCGAACTGGGCCACGGAGATGCTGCTGCCCGAGGCCGACCTGTGGGGCGCCCCGGCCGAGGAGGAGGACGCGTTCGGCCTGGGCGGCCCGGGCGGCCTGGCCCCGCACGCGGTCATCCTGCAGGACTGCATGTGGAGCGGCTTCTCGGCGCGGGAGAAGCTGGAGCGCGCCGTGAGCGAGAAGCTGCAGCACGGCCGCCCGCCCGGCCCCGCTGCCCCGGGCCCGGGGGCGCCCCCCGCCGCCCCCAGCGCCGGCCGCGGGCACAGCGCGGGGGCCGGCCGCGCCGGGGCCGCGCTGCCCCCCGAGCTCGCCCACCCGGCCGCCGAGTGCGTGGACCCCGCCGTGGTGTTCCCGTTCCCGGTGACCAAGCCCGCGCCCGCCTCCCAGGCCGGGGCCGCTCCGGGTGCGGGGGGCGCGGCCCCGGCCGGCGCCCCGATGGCCTCCCTGTCGCGCCCCGGAGCCCGGCCGGCGGGGAGCGGGGACCCCAAGGCGCTCAGCACCTCCGGCGAGGACACCCTGAGCGACTCCGGTAAGGACCGCCCCGGGTGCCGGCGCGGGGGTGCGCGCCCTTTGTCACTGCGGCTGGGGTTAGGCTTGGATGGGGGGAGCGTTTTGGAAGTTGTGATGTTGGCTGACTTTTTATTTTATTTTATTTATTTTATTTTATCTTACTTTCTGGGCAAACTTGACCCCAAGATCAGGAGGGAACGGTTGAGTGAGACTTGCTAAGAGGGTGTTACCCAAAGTGTCACCTGCACTGGAAGCTCCTTCTACCCTCCGGGGGCCCCGACTCCATCCCTTGGCTCTCATCCGGCCTGGTTGCCCACCTCTCTGCCACATAAAACTATAGTAAAAAGTGGGTGGGAAGCAAGGGGGCCGCTGGCTGCATGACTCGGGCAGAAACCTGTTAGCCCTCGAGGGGAGAGGGACATGACCCAGGTCAGTCAGGGTTTGGGGGTTTGGGGGAGACCCCGAGAAGACACAGGCATTGTGCAAAACCCTGCTCGGGCACAGAAAGTTAGGGAGATTGTACAGACGGCTTGCAGCAAATTTTATTTTTCAAACCTGGGTGCTATCTCTTCCCCCTCCCTTTGTGGCTGGTGGGCTGCTTGCTCCTCCTGGTAGGTGGCCGGCAGGCGGTGATATTGCAGGCGGGCCGAGGCTCTGAATGGCCGGGTGGGGGGACAGAGGGGAAGGGGCCACCCCTGCCTCCATCCAGCAGCTGGCGGCTAGTACCACCGAGGTTGTGTGCGTTCCCAGGGGGCCGCCTCTTTCCCTCTGCAGGGACACGGGGTGCAGTGCTGCGTTCTGGCCAGAATTTCCAGGACCCATTTCTGATCCCGAGTTGGGCTTCGTAACCCGGTGCCCTTCCAGGTGTTGGCTGGCCCTCCAGGAATGCACACGCCCTAGGAGCACACATGGATAAGTTGCATTGTGTGCTGGGCGTCTGGGAGGGCGAGGCTAAGGGGAAGACTGCCTGGGGCCCCGGAGGTAGAGAAAGAACTCCTTCCTCTTCAAATACTCAAAACAGCCCTTGTTTGGGGGCTGGGAGGCCCGCGTTCCTGGAATCTCCATGCAGCCCAGTGTTTTCAGAATGCAGGCGGATTAAAGGCCTAAAATTTCCTCCTGGGCCGGAGAGTGGATTCCGCCGAGGCTCCTGGAAGGAAACTTGGTGATAAGCCTCCGGCTGGAAGCGGGTCCTGTCCCTTTAATGTCTGTGCCTTGACAGCTCGCGGTGAGGAAGCACTTCCTTCCAACAGCTGTCTTCTTGGCAGAAAACCAAAACACGGGCTTAAAGGGACCCACAGGCTGCAGCAGCCTCGCATTTCGGCTTTAGAACAAATCCTACAATTGTTCAGCTTTCCGGTCCCCTTTCCAGATCAAGCAGGAGAAGAAGTGTTTTGATTTTCCATGCTTGCATTTTTTTAAACAATAATTTTCTATCCGGGCACGTAGTAAATGAGGAGGAGGAGGAGGAGGGGGTGGGGGGGGCATGATGCTACACGCTTTTGTTGCTGCGGTTATGACTGACTTGCCGTGGCGGAGGGGGGCTCCCGGGTTTGGGGTTCGAGCGCCTGTGGGGTAGGACTCGCTAGGGGGGGCGGGGGATGTGTGCTAGGTGAAAAAAAAAAGGGCTTCCTTGAATCGTTCTGTACGTTTGCTTAAGGGCCTAACATTAGACGCAACCCGAGTGTGGAACTGCTAAATGAGGAGTCTCCATTCTTGAGCGCGGAGATGGAAACATAAATAAGTTTGGGGGCTAGGGTAGCCCGGCGATGGTGTTAAAAGCTACCATTGACTGAGCATCTGTTTACCAGGCCAGCTCTCTGCATATTCCAGGTCCATCCCGAGAACCTTTGCGTGGTATGGGCCCCATTTAAATGGAAACTAAGGCTTCCAAAGGTCTAGAGACTCGCCCAGGATTACACCCCCCCAGTGTTGTGGGATGGAGCCAGGATCCTGTCCCGCCCCCACATCCCAGGTTCTTTCTGTATCTCCCACCTGCTCCAGTCGGTCTGGAAGCTGAAACCGCTAGGAATATGGGGGGGGGGGGGGGAGGGAAAAGTATTTACAAATATGTTCCATTGAAAAGATCTAAAGTACATTCCTCTTCCCATCTATGTTGATGGAGCCCTAAATAAGAGCCAAGCGTGCCCGGGGCCTGGGAGAGGCGGTCTAGAGGGAGGGAAACGGACGTGTGCTCGTTCGCGTCTCACTCTGAGAGTAACCCCTCCCTCCCTTCTTGGTTCTTGAAGATGACGACGATGACGAAGAAGAGGAGGAAGAGGAGGAGATCGACGTGGTGACGGTGGAGAAGCGGCGGTCCTCCGCCCACAACAGCAAGGCCGTCACCACCTTCACCATCACCGTGCGCCCCAAGAGCGCAGCCCCGGGCCCGGGCAGGGCCCCCCCGCACCCCGCGGGGGACCTGATCCTCAAGCGCTGCGTCCCCATCCACCAGCAGCACAACTACGCCGCGCCCTCGCCCTACGTGGAGCCGGAGGAGGCGCCGCCCCAGAAGAAGATCAGGAGCAGCGAGGCGTCCCCGCGGCCCCTCAAGGGCGGCGGCGGCGCCCTCCCCGCGAAGGCCAAGAGCCTGAGCCCCCGCAACTCCGACTCGGAGGACAGCGAGCGCCGCCGCAACCACAACATCCTGGAGCGCCAGCGCCGCAACGACCTGCGCTCCAGCTTCCTCACGCTCAGGGACCACGTGCCGGAGCTGGCGAGGAACGACAAGGCGGCCAAGGTGGTCATCCTGAAGAAGGCCACCGAGTTCGTGCACGCGCTGCAGGCCGAGGAGCAGCAGCTGCTGCTGGAGAAGGAGAAGCTGCAGGCCCGGCAGCAGCAGCTGCTCCAGAAGCTCGAGCTGGCGCGGACTTGCTAAACGGTTCTTTCTCCACAACGGGACAGTCACTGCCACTTTGCACATTTTGATTTTTGTTGTTTTTCGTTGTTTTTTTTTTTTTTTTTTTTACATTGTTGACATTAAGAATGTTGGTTTACTTTCAAATCGGTCCCCTCCCTCCCTGTCGAGTTTGGATCTGGGTGGGGAGCAGGACATGTGGGGAGGGGGGGGGGGGTTGGTTCTGCCAGGACCTCTGAGGGATAGGGCCTGGGTGATGATGGGATGCTGTGTGGCCCATGAGGGTTCCTCGGAGTCACCTCCACGAGACGGTCACTTCCAAGACAGCTGAGGGAGGGCGTGATGGGCGGGACCGTCGGGAGCCTCTGGGGCCGTGGAAGTCACCTTGTTCCGAGTTTCCAGACATCAGAGAGTCATTCCTTTTCCAATGGTGCTTACGTTCCAGCATGTTCCAGCAGATGCCACGGGAGGAGGGGGTTGCCCGTCGAGACCTCCCCCTCCCCAGGAGAACCTTCTGTAAATACCACTGACACACCCGCCTTTTGTATGCGTCCCGGGTAATGAGGTGGCTTTCGTGGCCAGTATTAGACTGGAAGTTTCATACCTAAGTACTGTAATACCTCAATGTTTGAGGAGCATGTTTTGTATACAAATATATTGTTAATCTCTGTTATGTACTGTACTAATTCTTACACTGCCTGTATACTTTAGTATGATGCTGATACATAACTAAATTTGATACTTATATTTTCGTATGAAAATGAGTTGTGAAAGTTTTGAGTAGATATTACTTTATCACTTTTTTGAACTAAGAAAACTTTTGTAAAGAAATTTACTATATATATATGCCTTTTTCCTAGCCTGTTTTCTTCCTGTTAATGTATTTGTTGTTTGGTGCATAGAACTGGGTAAATGCAAAGTTCTGTGTTTATAATTTCTTTCAAAATGTATATATTTAGTGCTGCATCTTATAGCACTTTGAAATACCTCATGTTTATGAAAATAAATAGCAATTAAATGATGCAGCTTTTTTTTTTCCCTCCCCCCCTTGCTGGCATGCTAGTTAGATTATCCCTTAAGCAGTGACCTTCATAGCACATAATTTACTGTGGGAATCCTGGTTGGGGGGTGGGGGGGACTGTGCTTAGAAAAGTTTTAAGACCTCTCTTGCAGGTTCCACAGAAGAGAGATACTATTAGTGACTGCCATGTAGCAATGGCACTCTTAAAAAAGCATTTTCATTGTTGGATATTTCGTGGAATTAAAATAGGATGTCAGGTAGGGGCTATTTATTAACTTGTTGACCTACTTATAGACGTGGACCCTTTAAGTATTAGTCAAGACAACGTAGTTTCATTGGCTGTACTGGTGTTGGGCATAGTTGTCCCATTGGCAGGTGGCTTTACATTTTTCTTTTTTAATATATTTTATTGATTTTTTACAGAGAGGAAGGGAGAGAGATAGTTAGAAACATCGACCAGCTGCCTCTTGCACACCCCCTACCGGGGATGTGCCTGCAACCAAGATACATGCCCTTGACCGGAATCGAACCCGGGACCCTTCAGTCCACAGACCGACGCTCTACCACTGAGCCAAACCGGTTTCGGCGGCAGGTGGCTTTACATTTTGGTGTCAAGTGTAGTTTGTCTCCAAGAAACCATCCTTCCAAAGTTCTACTGAGCTTGGAAGGTTCTAGGCTGGCCGGGCACTGTAGCAGAATACGCAAGCCGTTGTTCTCTCCTTGAGTTCTCAATCCGACTCATAGAAGTATCTAGAAGAAGTGACAGGCGTGTGGTCCAGATCCAGTGATCTGTCTCTTCCAGAGACTCAGCGGGTGTAGTGCGCTGTCCATTGGCAGCTCCTGTCACAGGCTGGCATTGGGGCTGCCCCGTGGAAGCAGGACCCACCTCTGCAGGCTCTGGGGGACGGCCCAGGGCCAAAGGGTGGGGGGCAGGCACCCGGGCGAGGAAGGGGTTTCATTTTCCCTGATGGGAGGTGACACCGCTCTGGGGCACCTTGGGAGGTAGTCTACTGAGACCTGAAAGCCTGTACAAACCTATTTCTCCTCAGGTGGAAGGTACCGGGTTATTTTTCTAAGATTTCTTCCAGATTTTTAGCTGTGCATTGAAAAGGGCCTTTAGCGTTACCGAGAAGAAAACAGGGCCGGGGATGATAATGTGCTTTGTCTGGTCACAGCTTGGGTAGGGGTAGAGGGGCGGGGGTGGGGGTGGGGGGGCGGGCAGAGATGGGACAACCTGAGCCTGTCTGCTTTGGCCATTTGATAGAGGCCAGTGGGAGGTTAGAACCCCTGTTCACAGCCACAGGTCTCAGCTCTGAGGTTGGTGCTGCCACATTGCTGAGGGCCAGGCCATCCCCCACTAGAAAAATAAGGAACCGGCTTTGAAAGTCCATTTTAAATTGTCATTCAAAAGGCTTCCTGACCATTTGCATTTTACGAGACCCAAATCGCCTTGCTTGTGTAATCCTGAACCAAACCACAGAGCAGTGTGACCTCAAAGTAACCCAGCACCTGGGATTATGGGAGCCCGGCTTCTCTCTGTAGTGCCCATCGGGCCTACCTCGGTGTTTTCAGAGGACCTGGGAGTCTAGCCGTGAAGGAGGGAAATAACGAGGCCCTAAACTGATTCCTACCATGCTCCATTTTTGCTCTGGCCACTGGGAAGCTCAGAGCCAAATTCCATACACTCGTGTACACATCTGGTTCCCATTCTATCTTTCTAAATGTTTGTGACCTCTTGGTTTGTTTGTTTGTTTTTTAGGAGCCGGGGTTGGCCAGCATCTGGAAGCCTTCTCGATCTCTTGTTTTTGACTTCCAGTTTAACAACCTTTAAAAATGTTCTTTATTACACTTCACTGAGAAGTTTTTTGCATCAGGTGGATCCTGAATTGTATTTAAGTGTTAAAACTAAATACCACTTGCCTTTCTTGGCCCAGCTGAGGGAAAGTGTCACCCAGGTGAGCTCTCAGTTATCGATGAAGTAATTGCTGCAGTCACAGAGTTGAACCACTCGTTTCAATCACGAGAGAAACCATGTTTGCATTCCAAGAGCAGTTTTGAAATGGCTCCACCACAGGGAAATCAATGAATCCCAGGATTTAGGCGGAGCCCGGAGGGCATCTCCCTGAATGACTTCATTTTACCCAGTAGTTCCCCTCACTTAGGGGAGAAAGCCCAGACCCCGCAGCCTGACTCAGGCTGTCCCCATCCTGGCTCATCAGCTCCCTCACCTACTCCCCCCGTTCCCCTACACGCACAGGTGCCCCTCATTCCAGCCACACCAGACACCCTGGACCTTTCTCACCTGGGGCTTGTTTCACCACCCGAGTCTCCCAGCTTCTGGTTATTGAAATCTTTTCCAACCTTGAGTAGCAAACCCCACGCCATCTCAGCCAGGAGATCTGCCTTGCATCCCCAGGTGGGCCCTTAGCTGGTGACGTTGCGTCACCTCTGAAGAGAGAAGTGGTCTAATCACTGTCTTGACCATGAGCTCCCCTAAGGCAGGCACAGTGGCTCATTCGCCTCTCACCTTCATTCAGTCCCTGCCTGGTATCTGACTGATGATGGCAGGGCCTTGGCAGATGCCAGCAGAATGGCTGGTGGCTGAGCAGCAGCGGAGGGAAGAGCCAGGTGAGGAGCAGGTGGGGCTGATTTCCATGACAGGTGTGTCTCCTGCCACCCCCAGTTCCCTTAGCCGTCAGTGACCCGGCAGTCCTGACTGCTGGGAGTGAAGAGAAAACGCACAAGGAGGGGCAGGAGGGGGGGGCTATCTTCAGGAAGCCCACAGTCTGGCAGGAGGGGAGATGGGAGGGACTGGTGCGGGTGGGGGACTGTGCTAGGCTCTGTGCCTTCAGACTCCCAGTTTGGTACTCTGTTGGAGGAAGCCAGTTTGCTGGGCTACCAGAGAAGCACAGATCACCTATCCCAGTGGTCGGCAAACTGTGGCTCGCAAGCCACACGTGGCTCTTTGGCCCCTTGAGTGTGGCTCTTCCACAAAATACCACGGTTTGGGTGAGTCTATTTTGAAGAAGTGGCATTAGAAGAAGTTTAAGTTTAAAAAATGTGGCTCTCCAAAGAAATTTCAGTCATTGTCCTGTTGATATTTGGCTCTGTGGACTAATGAATTTGCCGGCCACTGACCTATCCTATGGTGACAGTGGTTACAATGCCCCCCCCCCCCCACTTCTGTGAAGCCCTGTAGAGACCACTCAGTTCTTTCACACTTGAGTCTGACCTTTTTCAGACGATCTTTATAACCTTTATAACACAGTCTCTCAGGAGTGTTGACTAGTTTGAAGTATTTCATTTGGGGAGTTGGGTCTTTTGATTTTGACTTTCATTAATCTCTGTGGTGGTTATCCTTTGAAAAAAATCTTAATCTAGGTTTTCTTTAGAATCCGCCATGAATAGATTTGGGAGCAGCTTGGAAGCCACCAGCTCCACCTCCCATTTCAGAGGTGGGACACAGGCAGGGAAGAAAGAGCATCCTGTGTGCCCATCAGGATTCTTTTCTTCCTCTTCCTCTTCCTCCCCACTCCCTTCCCCTCGGTCCCTACCTCCTTCTCACAGGGAACATTTATTTAGCACTTACCATGTGTCAGCCATGGTTCCGGACACTTAGGAGACATCAGTGAACAAGAGACCAAACTCCTCCAAGCCCCAGCTTTCGTGGGCTTTCTAGTCTAGGAGAGAGAGACAACAAGAAAATAAACACAGTGCGTGAAGGACTCAAAGAGCATTCAGCAAGGTGGTGAGAGTGAGTAGAACAGGAGGGAGGGATTCTGGCAGCCACAGCGGAGGGAAATGGGGTGCAGTTTGGGGTGAGATGGTCAGGAAGATGCAGTGAGGCAGGGAGCTGTGGGGCAGGCAGGGAGAGCACCGCCCCCCTGGAGCCAGGCCTCCGGCTTCCCTAGTGGGGGTTCTGCCTCTTCCACCTTCCTTTGTCACTGACAAAGGCTCCCCAACTTCTTTCTCTCTTTCAAGGGGAAGCCCCGGAGTGGAG